TTTCCTTCGCTCTTTCTGTCTCTTTCAAAAATAAATAAACATTAAAAAAACAATTAAATATTAAAAAAAAGAATTACTAGAGGCGCCTCGGTGGGTCAGTCGGTTAAGCGTGGGTCTTGGGCTCACGTCATGATCTCACAGTCCATGGGCTCCAGCCCCACCTCCAGCTCTGTGCTGACAGCTCAGAGCCTGGAGCCTCCTTCAGATTCTGTGTCTCCTTTTCTCTCTTTCTCTGCCCCTCTCCGTAACACGCTCTCTCTCTCTCAAAAGTAAATATACATTAAAAAAAGAATTACTTTTATTTAGAACAGGGAAATAATTATATTTGTCTCATTTTCTTTATACGTGTGTACTGGGGATAACTCATGATGGAGAACAATTCAATAAAGTAATGCGAATCCAGCGTTCATCAGTGAGAGCCGAGTTATTGGTGAAATCTTCCTAGAGGTCGGGGTAGTTTTGAATGTTCTTCTAGGATGTGTTAGGTATGGGGAGGTTGTATTTGCCGAGCGGAAGGTGAGGCACTGTCAGTCCAAGTCGAGGCTGAGTTTCTTTCCTAGAACTGGGAAGGAGAAAAACCGTGCTGTTCGGCTGTGCTTAGGCTCCTGGCTGCAGAGGTCCTACTCCGCCTCTAGCTTTCGCTCCGCCCCTCCCTGCCCTTGTCCCACCCCATTCTACTCTCCCTTCGCCCCGCCCCTCCATCGGTCCTTACCCCCCTCTGTCCCCGCCCTGCTCTACAGCCTGGTTGCGCCTTCTAGCTCCTCCCCGCCTTTTCTTTGCGCCGTGCTCCGCCCACTCGCACCTCCTTTTCCGGCAAGCGCTGCGGTTGCGCGGTGCGTGCCATCTTTTAGGCTCGTGGAGCGCTTCGCTGGCTTTCTGCTTTGGGCGAATTTTATCCAGGCCCACCATGTGGAGCGGAAGGCAGGGTCGCCTCAGACCGGTGGGCTGCGTGGTAGAGGAGCTACGGTGCCGCCGACGGGAGCGGGAGGCAGGTGCTGGCGAGCAAGGGAGACGGCAGGATGCGCGGGGTGGCTATGGCGGTCGGAGATAGGATAAGGAGGCTCCCGGGTTGGAGACGGGGTTCAGAGTCCTAGATGCAGCCCCTACGTTCAGCCGCTTCTTTGCCCCCAGCACTGCGGAAGGCGCGGAGGGAACAGCAGCTGATCAGTAAGAGACTGCTGAGAGACGACGCGTCGGAGGAAGCCGAAGGGGGATGTGTGGCCATGATCCTTGGGGAAACTGAGGTGAGGCGACAGGGTGCACGGTGAGGTCGACACCGGCTGGCGCCAAATTCCTTTTGAGGTCCGCCCCACATCTGGACGCGGTCCCTTCACTACCTCCATCCATCCAGTGGGCCAAGCCAGAAACCGGTGAATCATCCTCGACAACTCGGTCTCTCATCCCCACACCGATACATCAAGTCTTAGTCGTTTTAAACGTCTTAAGGAGCTTTGGCGTCCTTACGTGCTTCACCATCGTGGCTAAGCCATCCTCTAATCCGTGTACTCAAAACAGCCTTCTAACAGGTCATCTGTATCTGTGCTTGCCGCCTTCAAATTCATTCTCCATACATCAGACAGATGTGCCTTTTAAGAACACATAGAGGGGCGCCTGGGTGGCGCAGTCGGTTAAGCGTCCGACTTCAGCCAGGTCACGATCTCACGGTCCGTGAGTTCGAGCCCCGCGTCAGGCTCTGGGCTGATGGCTCAGAGCCTGGAGCCTGTTTCCGATTCTGTGTCTCCCTCTCTCTCTGCCCCTCCCCCATTCATGCTCTGTCTCTCTCTGTCCCAAAAAATAAATAAACGTTGAAAAAAAAAAAAAAAAAAAAAAAAAAAAAAAAGAACACATAGAGACCGAAATCCTTCCTGTGACCTATAATGTCCAGCATTGTCTAACCTTTGCCTTCCTCCAACCTTACCAGTTTATTCATCTTAGCCCAAATTACCCGTTTTTAGGTTTTTTTGTTTTTGTTTTTTTGTTTTTTACTTATTTTTGGGAGAACGCAAGCCAGGGAGGGGCAGAGACAGGACAGAGGCTCTGAAGTGGGGTCTGGGCTGAAGCCTTACAGAAGCGATCCTGATGTGGGGCTCGAACTCACCGGGAGATCGTGACCTGAACATAATTCGATCCTTCAACTGACTGAGCCACCCAGGTGCCACACCCCTTTTTAGTTCTTGAAAGACTGTATTAGGCTCTTTCCTGTCTCAAGTCATTTGCATTTGCAGCATCTAAAAGTGAGTCTCTTTTAGTATTGGCTTGACAGCCTGTTTGCAGAATATCGATCCTACTAATTGCTTGTTTATCATTTTTCCAACGAGACTTATTTATTTGTTTTTTAATGTTTATTTATTTTTGAGAGAGAGACAGAGTGCGAGCAGGGGAGGGGCAGAGAGAGAGGGAAGGAGACAGAATCTAAAGCAGGCTCCAGGCCCAGAGCTGTTGGCACAGAGCCTCATATGGGGCTTGAACCCTCAAACCGCAAGATCATGACCTGAGCCAAAGTTGGACACTTAGTTGACTGAGCCACCCAGGTGCCTCAGAACCTACACCCTATCTTAGTTGTTGTCATTGAAAACTCAGATGCCTGTAGACTATCAGGCATAGAGTAGATGGTCAGTATTTAGTGAATAAGTGAATGAAATGATTAGTTTTACCTGATTTATTCATTCAGCAAGCATCGGGCATCCCCTTTGTTTATATTGTCTGTGTTTACATATGTTGTTCACAAAGCACTCGTGCCTAGGTTCATTGGTTCATTGTGTGCTTACTTTATGCCAAGATACTGTGCTGGGTACTGAGGTACACAAAGATGAAGAGAATCCCTTTCTTTGAAGTGCTTGCAATAACCCAGTGAAGGAGACAGGTGTGCTAACCACCTGTCATGAAGGAAACATGAGGCACAATAGAAACCCCTAAATGTGCAACAGGAAGCCAGGAAGACCTTACTTCTCAGAGGCAGTAACCGGAATAGAAATCTGAAGGGATTGGAGGACCTGGGGGGACTATCCCAGGCAGAAAAATAGATTGTGCAAAAGCTTGGAAGCATTAGAAACAAGTCATGTTATGCTAGGTGTTGGAGTATAGGTTGCACGGGGAGAATGGCTAGAGGGATAGGCTGTGCCAGACTGAAAGGTTTAAATGTTATCCTTGAAATAACCCCTTAAGAAGGCAGGAGAGATGTTATTCCCATTTTTCAGGTGAAAAACTGAGGTTTAGGTTTCTTGTAGAGAAGTGGCAGGGCTGGTATTAAACCCAGTTCTGATTCCCTCTTCTGTCTACCCTACTGCAAGATTGAAACTTACTAGCCATATTAATGTGAATGACAAGTTCAAGGGATGGTGCAACATTGGAGTGCTCACAGGTGAAGTGGGCAGAGTAGGACTCATGTTTGCTTTCTGGCAACTTTATGTTGCCATCTCTTCTCTCCATGCCCTGTGCTCCAGATCCAGCATTTCCTACGATTAGCACAGCAGGGGACAGAAGAAAAGGAGAGAGAGAGGGCTCTGGTCAGCCTTCGTCGAGGCTTGCAGCACCCTGAGACGCAGCAGACCTTCATCTGGTCAGTGTGGGTGGTGTGAGTGGGGGCTGGGTCTCTAAGAGATGGACAGGAGTGTGGAGGGGACGGGCCACAGGCTGAGCAGGGCTCTGGTGCTCACTCATGTAGGCTGGAGGGCAGCATGCGGACCTTGGTCGGGCTTCTGACCAGCAACCAAGCCCTGTTGCAGCTTGAGGCCGCTCGGTGCCTTCATGAGCTCTCTCATTCTGAACAGTCTGCGGTGGCTGAGGCCTGCCTGCCAGCCACTTCCTACCTTCTCACCTACCTCTCCGGTCACAGCTCAGACTTTATAGTAAGCCTTGTCCCTTCCTACCTTGTTCTTGGCTTGAATTTAAAAATTATGCTTTTGGGTGTAGTTTGACCTGGCACATAGGGGAAGAAGAAAACTTGTTTCCCCTGATGTCCATAGCCATACATATGCCCATCATCTTCCACTCCCTTTTGCCCAGAGCCTCGAAGACAACACTGTTCCATCCTCCGCACTCCCACCCCCACCCTAGCCTGAGATAGGCTATGCCCAGTGCTTTTGTTGTCCCACTCTCAGGAGCTCTGTCTGTATACACTGGGTAACCTGATTGTGGAGAGTGAGGCTGTGAGAAGGCAGCTCCTGCCACAGGGCATTGTTCCAGCCTTGGCTGCCTGCATCCAGGTGAGCGTCCATCTACTGTCTCCCTCGTTGGGCAGCACTCCCCTCACTTGTCTCTACATGGTCCCCCTGCTTTGTTTAGGCAGCTTCAGCCTCTGCCCTATGCTAAGGGGTTGAAGGTTACAGGGAACCTTATGACGCGGTTTCCAGAGTCAGATCTGTACTCTGTCTACTTCTAGTACTTCTGTATTCTGTCTACTTCTAGTCCCCCCATCTGACTGTGCTGGAAGCCCTTGGATATGCCTTATCCCAGCTTCTGCAAGTTAAGGAAGCTCCAGAGATGATCATCCCGTAAGTAAAATTGTGTCTGCAGATGTGCAGGTAGGTGTGACCCACTTTGTATTGTAACCCCTGGAGGTGTGATTGAGTCTTGTTTCCAAAGCTATTGCACATTTTAGCTCAAGGTGTCTGGCTGGGAAGAGCTTTGGATTTGAATGCTTTCCCACCTGCTTTTAGGGTTTGGGAAGAATGACTGGCATCTTGGTTTCTGTGGTTCCCACTCACAGCTCTCCTTCTGCTGACAGCTCCGTCTTGGGCTCCACTCTCCCTGAGCACATCCTGCGACTGTTGCAACCTGGTCCAAAGCTGAACCTTGGGGTTGCTGTGGAGTTTGCCTGGTGTCTGCACTATATCATCTGCAGGTAACAAAGGCCTTTTGCAGAAGTCCCACAGACCTTCCCTAGGTCTCCCTAGGTCTCCCTTCTAGGACACTCTTGTTTTTGAACTTTGGTTTCTGGAATTTCAGAGAGTTTTCTTCCTTCTGTAGTCCTCTTTACTTGGAGCCCAGGAAGCCTACAACCTAGGCCATTTGCCATCTTTTTTTTTTATTTTTAAAAAAAATTTTTTTTTAACGTTTATTTATTTTTGAGACAGAGAGAGACAGAGCATGAACAGGGGAGGGGCAGAGAGAGGGAGACACAGAATCTGAAACAGGCTCCAGGCTCTGAGCTGTCAGCACAGAGCCCGACGCGGGGCTCGAACTCACGGACCGCGAGATCATGACCTGAGCTGAAGTCGGACGCTTCACCGACTGAGCCACCCAGGCGCCCCTAGGCCATTTGCCATCTTAAAGGTAGGATTGACTGAGTAGTGACTATTTGATTCTTATTGCCCAGCCAGGTCGACAATACCCTGCTTATCTCCCATGGGGGTCTGTCCACTCTGGGGTTGCTGCTATTGGACATGGCTGGAGCTGTCCAGAGAACAGAGGATACAGGACTGGAGCTGGTAGGTGAAGAGAACAGGTCAAGGTCTGTGCTACCTTTCTTCCTACTGTTCTTCCTTCAGTACACAGGTAGCCCCTTCCTCCTTAGACCATACTCAGACTAACTTGTCTTTGCAGCTGGCATGTCCTGTGCTTCGGTGTCTAAGCAACTTGCTAACAGAAGCAGCAATGGAGGTTGTGGGAGGGCAAAATCAGCTTGAAGACGAGCGTGTTGTGGCTGCCTTATTTATCCTTCTGCAGTTCTTCCTTCAGAAACAGCCCAGCCTACTTCCTGAGGGCCTCTGGCTCCTTAACAACCTCACTGGTATGTGTCATAATGTGCCTAGGACCTTTAGATACTGGACATACTTACTCACTGACTTGGCCAAGGTGGGTAGGATTGGGGGGGGGGGGGCAGTTGCAGTTTCATTTCCCTGTTTGGGGACTCTACTGTGACATTTTCCCTTCTAGCAAACAGTCCTAGTTTCTGTACCTCCTTGCTCTCCATGGATCTGATTGAGCCCCTCTTGCAGTTGTTGCCAGTTTCTAACGTGGTGAGCATATTGGTAGGTATTGGGGTCACTTAAGTATGGGATCTGGTGCCAAAGTAAAAACAATGGGAGCAGGCCTTTGCACTCAGAAGTACCCTTACCTGAGAGCTGGCAGGTGGTGTGGTATGGATGGCTTCAGGGCCAGACCAGTCTAGATGTGAATCCTTAAACGACTAGTTACTAACCTTGGGCAAATCAGCTTATCATCTTGAACTTTAGTTTCCTCGTGTGTAAGTGGGAATAGCAGTCCTACCTGAGGGCAGCTGTAGGGATTACAAAACATGCATATAAGTGCTTGGCATGGTGCCTGGCCATGTGGTCAGCACTCCATATTTTAGCGATCTTTAGTCTTTAGTTTTCATCCTTTGTGGGGACTGTGTATACATGTCTTTCTGCAGGTCCTCACAGTTCTGTGCAACGTGGCAGAGAAGGGTCCTGCTTACTGCCAACGTCTGTGGCCAGGGCCCTTGCTCTCCTGCTTGATTGGTACACTGGCCTTCCCTGACATTGAGGTAGTAGGCCAGAGTTTAGAGCTGCTGCGATTGCTGTTCCTCTACCAGCCAGAGGTGGGTTTTGGCCCTGGTCCCCTGTTCTGAGGCCTCTAGTCTCACTATGGCCCCTTTCCTTCCAGTCCTATCTCTAGTCAATTCTCTGGGCCTGGCAAGCCTATATGGACTCCAGGTCGGAACTTCCAGCCTCTTTTTGGGAAGGCTTTCTTCCAAATAGAGGTGGATTAACCCATAAGCCTGTAGGAATCAAGTGTTAGGGCACAGGGATCCAGGTATTAAATCCTTTTCTACCCTGCCCTTAGGCTGCTAAGGATTTTCTGCAGCAATCAGGGCTGCAGGTCCTGGAAAGGCACCAGGAGGAGGCCCAGCTCCAGGATCGTGTGCATGCTCTCCAGCAGACAGCTCTTCACCAGTGACCTTTTTGATGTCATTCTACTCATCACCACCACCCTACCCTTGCCCCAACTTTCTTGCCTATGGATCCCCCTTTGAGGTTTTAGAACCATAATGGTATCTCCTGCTCTCTGCTCCTGTGTCTAAGCCAAGACTTTCAAAGCTCAGCTCTTCTTTGACCCAGAACTGTCCATATAGGACCAAAGGGGACTTGATGTGGGCCTGGAAT